GTTTGTGAATGCTTGTGGTGCTATCTGTACCTTACCCTGTGTTTGTGAATGTTTGTGGTGCTATCTGTACCTTACCCTGTGTTTGTGAATGTTTGTGGTGTTATCTGCACCTTACTCAGTGTTTGTGAATGCTTGTGGTGCTATCTGCACCTTACCCTGTGTTTGTGAATGCTTGTGGTGCTATCTGTACCTAACCCTTTGTTTGTGAATGTTTGTGGTGCTATATGAACCTTACCCTTTGTTTGTGAATGCTTGTGGTGCTATCTGTACCTTACCCTGTGTTTGTGAATATTTGTGGTGCTATCTGTACATTACCCTGTGTTTGTTAATATGTGTGGTGCTATCTGTACCTTACCATGTGTTTGTGAATGCTTGTGGTGCTATCTGACCCTTACCCTGTGTTTCTGAATGCTTGTGGTGCTATCTGTACCTTACCCTGTGTTTGTGAATGCTTGTGGTGCTATTTGTACCTTACCCTGTGTTTGTGAATGCTTGTGGTGCTATTTGTACCTTACTCTGTGTTTGGGAATGCTTGTGGTGCTATATGCACCTTACCCTTTGTTTGTGAATGCTTGTGGTGCTATCTGTACCTTACCCTGTGTTTGTGAATGTTTGTGGTGCTATCTGTACCTTACCCTGTGTTTGTGAATGTTTGTGGTGCCATCTGTACCTTACCCTTGTGTTTGCGAATGTTTGTAGTGCTATCTGTACCTTACCCTGTGTTTGTGAATGTTTGTGATGCTATCTGTACCTTACCCTGTGTTTGTGAATGCTTGAGTTGCTATCTGTACTTTAAACTCTGTTTGTGAATGCTTGTGGTGCTATCTGTACTTTACCCTGTGTTTGTGAATGCTTGTGTTTAAGTTAACTGCACCTTACCCTGTGTTTGTAAATGCTTGTGGTGCTGTTGGCACCTTACCCTGTGTTTGTGAATGCTTGTGGTGCTATCTAAATGCTACCCTGTGTTTGTGAATGCTTGGGGTGCTATCTGTACCTTTCCCTGTGTTTGGGAATGCTTGTGGTGCTGTTTTATCTTACCCTGTGTTTGTGAATGCTTGTGGTGCTGTTTGTACCTCACCCTGTGTTTGTGAATGCTTGTGGTGCTATCTGTACCTTACCCTGTGTTTGTGAATGCTTGTGGTGCTATCTGTACCTTGCCCTGTGTTTGTGAAAGCTTGTGGTGCTATCTGTACCTTATCCTGTGTTTGTGAATGCTTGTGGTGCTATCTGTACCTTACCTTGCATTTGTGAATGCTTGTGTTTAAGTTATTTGTACCATACCCTGTATTTTTGAATGCTTGTGGTGTTATCTGCATCTTACTCAGTGTTTGTGAATGCTTGTGGTGCTATCTGTACCTTATCCTGTGTTTGTGAATGCTTGTGGTGCTATCTGTACCTTACCCTGTGTTTGTGAATGCTTGTGTTTAAGTTAACTGTACCTTACCCTGTGTTTGTGAATGCTTGTAGTGCTATCTGCACCTTACCCTGTGTTTGTGAATGATTGTGGTGCTATATGTACCTTACCCTGCATTTGTGAATGCTTGTGTTTAAATTAACTGTACCTTACCCTCTGTTTGTGAAAGCTTGTGGTGCTGTTTGTACCTCACCCTGTGTTTGTGAATGCTTGTGGTGCTATCTGTACCTTACCCTGTGTTTGTGAATGCTTGTGGTGCTATCTGTACCTTACCTTGCATTTGTGAATGCTTGTGTTTAAGTTAACTGTACCTTACCCTGTGTTTGTAAATGCTTGTGGTGCTATCTGTACCTTACCCTGTGCTTGTGAATGCTTGTGGTGCTATCTGTACCTTACCCTGTGTTTGTGAATGCTTGTGGTGCTATCTGTACCTTTCCCTGCATTTGTGAATGTTTGTGGTGCTTTCTGTACCTTACCCTGTGTTTGTGAATGCTTGTGGTGCTATCAATGACGTAGATAAACCCAAATGCTTTCTCCATGTAGGCAGATAGGATCTGTGGCAGACCTTTGGAGTCTCCAACACCGGGACTGTCCACAATGGTTACTCCACCCTGCAAGCAACATGATAATGATCACTGGTCACTTAATGACAGTGATGTGTTGGTGTAAAAGATGAGAAATGACTGGCAAGGATATGATGTGTTGGTGTAAAAGATGAGAAATGACTGGCCAGGATGTGATGAGTTGGTGTGACAGATGAGAATTGAGGTTTCAAGTTGTGACCAATGGATTAACATCATGGCACACCGGAAGTAACCCATATGTGCTCCGTTCTTCTTCTAACTCAAGTTTGAGTCTGGAGAAGCTTAGCACAGTGCACAGGCTGTCTAGCACCAGCAAGGATCCTGAATTACTTTGGGTAAATTTTTAACTTTAAATTTTGTCAGGGCAGCGCCGTTAGGCTACTCTTTTCGATTTCCAACTGCCAAAGGAGTTTTTACATAGGCAACATGAGCGTCCGATCTCACTACCCAGAGACCAGGGGGAATTACTGGAAGTCCAAGTCCCCACGAAAAAATCTCAGCCCGTGCCAGGGATTGAACCCGGCACCACTAGAACTCAAGGCAGACACTATGACTCGAGACCACTCAGCCCCCATATGAGAAATGACTGGCCAGGATGTGATGAGTTGGTGTGAGAGATGAGAAATGACTGGCCAGGATGTGATGAGTTGGTGTGAAAGATGATAAATGACTGGCCAGGATGTGATGAGTTTGAGTGAAAGATGAGAAATGACTGGCCAGGATGTGATGAGTTTGAGTGAAAGATGAGAAATGACTGGCCAGGATGTGATGAGTTGGTGTGAAAGATGAGAAATGACTGGCCAGGATGTGATGAGTTGGTGTGAAAGATGAGAAATGACTGGCCAGGATGTGATGAGTTGGTGTGAAAGATGAGAAATGACTGGCCAGGATGTGATGAGTTGGTGTGAAAGATGAGAAATGACTGGCCAGGATGTGATGAGTTGGTGTGAAAGATGAGAAATGACTGGCCAGGATGTGATGAACTGGGCAAAAAAATCATCAACATACGGTCAGTCGATTGGATACCTTTTTCATATCTGAAGAAGTTTAATAAGAATGCAGAATAGAATATATAGATGATGATAGAGTTCATAGGCAAATGTCAGATTCTTGGGGCCGTGGTTTTGCTGATGGTTTTAGTTACAGCTTTTGAGGCTGGTTTTTCTCTTTTGCTAACTGCATTTAGCCTATGACAAATTTACAAAACAGAACAAACAGGTTGGTTAGTCAGTCAGTCAGTCAGTCAGTCAGTCAGTCAGTCAGTCAGTCACTTACTTAGTTAGTTAGTTAGTTAGTTACTTAGTTAGTTAGTTAGTTAGTTAGTTAGTTAGTTAGTTAGTTAGTTAGTTAGTTAGTTAGTTACTTAGTTAGTTAGTTAGTTAGTTAGTTAGTTAGTTAGTTAGTTAGTTAGTTAGTTAGTTAGTTAGTTAGTTAGTTACTTAGTTAGTTAGTTAGTTACTTAGTTAGTTACTTAGTTAGTTAGTTACTTAGTTAGTTAGTTAGTTAGTTAGTTACTTAGTTAGTTAGTTAGTTAGTTAGTTAGTTAGTTACTTAGTTAGTTAGTTAGTTAGTTAGTTAGTTAGTTAGTTAGTTACTTAGTTAGTTAGTTAGTTAGTTAGTTAGTTACTTAGTTAGTTAGTTAGTTACTTAGTTAGTTAGTTAGTTAGTTAGTTAGTTAGTTGGTTGGTTAGTTAGTTAGTTAGTAACTTACTTACTTAGTTAGTTACTTAGTTAGTTAGTTAGTTAGTTAGTTACTTAGTTAGTTACTCAGTTAGTTAGTTAGTTAGTTAGTTAGTTAGTTAGTTAGTTAGTTACTTAGTTAGTTAGTTAGTTAGTTAGTTAGTTAGTTAGTTAGTTAGTTAGTTAGTTAGTTAGTTAGTTAGTTAGTTAGTTAGTTAGTTAGTTAGTTAGTTGGTTAGTTAGTCAACAGATTATCCACATTGCACATCAAACAATTCAGTCCAAACGTGCTCAGATCCCCATCTTAGTAAATCCCACAGTGTGTAGCGGCTCAGGACATCAGTTCTGTGTTGGTTTTTTATCCATTTCTGGCTTCCTGCATAGTGCTCTTGTCTGGCCACACCCCTTTTAACATGTTGTTCTTGTCTGGCCACACCCCTTTTAACATGTTGTTCTTGTCTGGCCACACCCCTTTTAACATGTTGCTCTTGTCTGGCCACACCCCTTTTAACATGTTGTTCTTTTCTGACCACAACCCTTTTAACATGTTGTTCTTGTCTGACCACACCCCTTTTAACATGTTGTTCTTGTCTGACCACACCCCTTTTAACATGTTGCTCTTGTCTGGCCATACCCCTTTTAACATGTTGTTCTTGTCTGGCCACACCCCTTTTAACATGTTGTTCTTGTCTGACCACACCCTTTTTAACATGTTGTTCTTGTATGACCACACCCCTTTTAACATGTTGTTCTTGTCTGGCCACACCCCTTTTAACATGTTGTTCTTGTCTGGTAATACCCCTTTTAACATGTTGTTCTTGCAGTCTCGTCATTGTTGCAGATTCACAGTCATCACTCAGTTCTTGCAAAAGTCCTAGTCCTGGTAGAGCATTCACAATGTCAGCATGGTCCATGGTGCGTCTACTCTCCACGGTAGCTTTACCTGCAAGCTGATCACACGCCTGCGTGCCCTGGTACAAATTTGAAACTAATATGTGTCAGTCAGCCCGCTTTAGAGACTCTACCCACTGCCTTCGGGTCCAGCCTTTCTCAATCTTCCTGAGAACACTCATTGAGTCAGTGAGAAAACATGCGAGGGAAAAGAGCCTTGTTATTGCTTTGGTCACTGCCATGACTTCTATAGTCAGACTACTTGTGGTCAATGAATAAACAGATGGTATCTGAGAGCAGGCAGGGACATAAAAACTGAATTCATAGCTAGAAATGGCATAAACTGCTAAACAGAATTGTATAAAAACATTGAGAAAGCACAAATAAGGACATGATGACAACATGGCAAGTCACACTATGGTACCATATCATCACAGGTGACTAACCTCTAACATTTCTAGCGGCCACTGCAGCTGAACCTTCTCAAACGGACTTTCATCTGTTTCCTCGTCTCTGGCTGTGATCACCAACTCCAGCTTCTTCAAAAATGACTCCAGATTTTCAAGGGAATCTGGTTTGAACTGAAACGACAATTACAGTTCTTGTTTGGCCACAGTTTTACCGTGAAGATGATATTTTAACAGTGTAGCTATTTCTAGCAAAGGTAGAGACTGGATTGAGGTTGCCACTGGACTGAGGATGCCACTGGACTGAGGTTGCCACTGGACTGAGCTTGCCACTAGACTGAGGTTGCCACTAGACTGAGGTTGCCACTGGACTGAGGTTGCCACTGGACTGAGGTTGCCACTGGACTGAGGTTGCCACTAGACTAAAGTTGCCACTAGACTGAGGTTGCCACTAGACTGAGGTTGCCACTAGACTGAGGTTGCCACTGGACTAAGGTTGCCACTGGACTGAGGTTGCCACTGGACTGAGCTTGCCACTGGACTGAGCTTGCCACTGGACTGAGGTTGCCACTGGACTGAGGTTGCCACTAGACTGAGGTTGCCATTGGACTGAGGTTGCCACTGGACTGAGATTGCCATTTAACTGAGGTTGCCACTGGACTGAGGTTGCCACTGGGCTGAGGTTGCCACTGGACTGAGGTTGCCACTAGACTGAGTTTGCCACTGGACTGAGGTTGCCACTAGACTGAGGTTGCCACTAGACTGAGGTTGCCACTGGACTGAGATTGCCATTGGACTGAGGTTGCCACTGGACTGAGGTTGCCACTGGACTGAGGTTGCCACTGGACTGAGGTTGCCACTGGACTGAGCTTGCCACTGGACTGAGGTTGCCAATGGGCTGAGGTTACCACTGGACTGAGGTTGCCACTGGACCGAGGCTGCCACTGGACCGAGGCTGCCACTGGACTGAGGTTGCCACTGAACTGTGGTTGCCATTGGACTGAGGTTGCCACTAGACTGAGGTTGCCATTGAACTGAGGTTGCCACTGAACTGAGGTTGCCATTGGACTGAGGCTGCCACTGGACTGAGGTTGCCATTGGACTGAGGTTGCCACTGGACTTGCCTGCCAGCATCAATAGTGCTGTACTGACAATCTCCCTAGGGAGGTTTCATTGTCTGGAAACTAGCTAGTTCCATGGTGGAGCAGCCTCACAGTTGGTAGGTTAGTGAATCCATTGGAACATGTCGACACACAAATGTTCGAGTTGTTTTATCCCTAACATCCAAAACATGGATGTTCAGGTTGTTTCATCCCTAATGTCCAAAATATGGATAAGAATTTCTTAATTCTTTTTCTTTGTCCTCCAGGCGTTCAACAGCTGTAATTTTCTATTTCAGCCCTGGTTCTTCATCCACTTCTGGACTTTGTGTTTTTTTCTATCCAGAACTTGAGTTTGCATGCATATTCATTTTACAGATCTGGCTTATGGTGTGCAGACTGTTGGTTCCTTGCCTCTGACACAGACTTTATTTTGTAAAATGCAGTTGTATGCCTGTCCAGGAAGAAAGTACTTTGTTGGGAGCATACACAACAGGAGTGTACCGATCATCAGCAGTGGTTAACTATCGACAAGTGCTTTGGCTCTTTACCCCCCCCCCCCCCCCACCACCCCCTAGCCCTCCCCACCCCACTAAAACACTTTCCGGGGGCGGGCCATCCCAGGTCTTGACTCACTCATAGACCTCAAGAATCTCCATTACTGCAATCTTACAGCTGCATTATAGCTGCAGTATAGCTGCATTATAGCATGTTATAGCTGCATTATAGCATGTTATAGCTGCATTATAGCATGTTATACCTGCATTATAGCTGCATTATAGCTGCATTATAGCATGTTATAGCTGCATTATAGCTGCATTATAGCATGTTATAGCTGCATTATAGCTGCATTATAGCATGTTATAGCTGCATTTTAGCTGCATTATAGCATGTTATAGCTGCATTATAGCTGCATTATAGCGTGTTATAGCTGCATTATAGCTGCATTATAGCATGTTATAGCTGCATTATAGCTGCATTATAGCTGCATTATAGCATGTTATAGCTGCATTATAGCTGCATTATAGCTGCATTATAGCATGCTATAGCTGCATTATAGCTGCATTATAGCATGTTATAGCTGTATTATAGCATGTTATAGCTGTGGAAGAATGGGCCTCAGTTTGAATAATGGGAAGACAGAAGTAATGGTGGTATCAAAGAAACAAATTATTCCTAAATGTGTAATAAAAGTCAATGGTGTTATTTTAAGACAAGTACAGAAATTTAAGTATCTGGGCACATGGATAACATCAGATGGAAGATGCATAACTGAAATAAGAAACAGAATTGGACAGGCAAAAACTGCATTTTATAAAATGAAAAACATCTTGTGCAATATATCCTTGTCATTGAGAGTTAGAAAAAGAATTCTTGCTTGCTACATACATCCAGTTTTAACATATGGATGTGAATCCTGGACAATCGGTAGGCAGGCCAAACAATTTTTAGAGGCCTCAGAGATGTGGTTTTACAGAAGAATGCTTAGAATACCTTGGACAGCCAAAAGAGCAACCAAGAGGTTTTAAAAGAGGCGGGAGACCGAAGACAACTTATCACTGACATCGGAAGGAGACAGTCATCGTTTTTCGGCCATGTTATGAGAAGAGGGAAAATAGAACATGTTGTGACCACTGGAAAGATCTGTGGAAGGAGGGATAGAGGAAGACAACGAGAGAAGATGCTTGACAGTCTTGTTGCATGGCATGGAGGTGTGTCGGCACACGAACTGATACATGCTGCAGGAGATCGCGGATTATGGAGAGGCATGATCGCCCACGCCAGTCGGCAAGGCACCTGATGATGATGATAGCTGCATTATAGCTGCATTATAGCTGCATTATAGCATGTTATAGCTGCATTATAGCTGCATTATAGCATGTTATAGCTGCATTATAGCTGCATTATAGCTGCATTATAGCTGCATTATAGCTGCATTATAGCTGCATTATAGCTGCATTATAGCATGTTATAGCTGCATTATAGCTGCATTATAGCTGCATTATAGCTGCATTATAGCATGTTATAGCTGCATTATAGCATGTTATAGCTGCATTATAGCTGCATTATAGCATGTTATAGCTGCAATATAGCTGCATTATAGCATGTTATAGCTGCATTATAGCTGCATTATAGCATGTTATAGCTGCATTATAGCATGTTATAGCTGCATTATAGCTGCATTATAGCTGCATTATAGCTGCATTATAGCATGTTATAGCTGCATTATAGCATGTTATAGCTGCATTATAGCATGTTATAGCTGCATTATAGCAGCATTATAGCATGTTACAGCTGCATTATAGCATGGAATAGCTGCATTATAGCTGCATTATAGCTGCATTATAGCATGTTATAGCTGCATTATAGCTGCATTATAGCTGCATTATAGCTGCATTATAACTGCATTATAGCTACATTATAGCTGCATTATAGCTGCATTATAGCATGTTATAGATGCATTATAGCATGTTATAGCTGCATTATAGCATGATATAGCTGCATTATAGCATGTTATAGCTGCGTTACAGCTGCATTATAGCTGCATTATAGCTGCATTATAGCTGCATTATAGCTGCATTAAAGCTGCATTATAGCTGCATTATAGCTGCATTATAGCATGTTACAGCTGCATTTGTGAGTGATGACTGCTGATGGTGCAAGCCACCCTGCTCTGTGGAAGGCAGTCTTGACCATGTTAACCTAGAGTGAGCCAGTTTCTCACATTTGCCAAGCCAACCACTTCATTGCGCCACCCCCCTTCCCCACCAGCTCTCCACTTGGCTCCCACTGGTGTATAAGATCAGGGCCTTGTTTCCTGCCAACCTACTGTTCTGCCTTCTATACCACCAGTGGCGTTAAGGAATTAGACATTTCATACTGAGTATGGCAGCCCAGCATTACAGAATGGCTAGCCTGCTGACACAAGCCAGACTGACAGCTGGATAGTTCTGTTGATCAAACAGTCAGTTGATTTTGTTGATCACACAGTTGGATAGTTCTGTTGATCAAATAGTTGGATAGTTTTGTTGATCACACAGTTGGTTGGTTTTGTTGATCAAACAGCTGGATAGTTCTGTTGATCAAACAGTCGGATAGTTTTGTTGATCACACAGTTGGTTGGTTTTGTTGATCAAACAGTTGGATAGTTTTGTTGATCACACAGTTGGTTGGTTTTGTTGATCAAACAGTTGGATAGTTTTGTTGATCAAACAGTTGGTTGGTTTTGTTGATCAAACAAACATGGGCTTTTGAGAGAAAGGCTCCTTACCTGAGGATATTCTACAGATTTTTTTAAATGCATAGGTATTGATGAGCACTCATACTGTTGTTCTCCAGTCAAGTATATAAATCTGAGAAGTAATCAACTCACCAAGATGGGAGTCTTGGCCCGCCCGGAGCTGTCATCTCTGTAGTGAGCAATGGCTTGTGGTGAAGCCCCATAGCTGATTTCTACGATTGCTGCAGTGCAGCGGAGGTCACTGGTGGGCATCAGTTGTTTCCCTAGCAACAGGTTGACCAGGCTGGACTTGCCTGACCCCATCTCACCTGCAGAAGGTCAAGGTTAGTTTCAGTAAAATTGCCCTCAAAGGCTAACACTGAAAATACAGGGCATCACACAGTTGTAGTCTGTCTGCAAGCCTGTCTGTGAGTGCTTGTCTGTCTAAAGCAGGACCATACAGAAGAGGAGGATGTAGAGAAAGAAGAAGAGGAGGAGGAGAAGAGAAATAAAAAGAAAAAGAAGAAAAAGAAAAAGAAGAAGAGGATGAAGAAGAAAAAAGATGACAAGGCAGAGAAGTGAGCACCAGGAGAAGAGTGGCTAGAAGTGTCAGAGAATTGAACAAAATCATATGTGTCTTTCTCTAGTGTAGAGTTCTAATCAGTGTATCATTCTCTAGTGTAGAGTTCTAATCATGTGTCTTTCTCTAGTGTAGAGTTCTAATCATGTGTCATTCTCTAGTGTAGAGTTCTTATCATGAGTCATTCTCTAGTGTAGAGTTCTAATCATGTGTCTTTCTCTAGTGTAGAGTTCTAATCATGTGTCATTCTCTAGTGTAGAGTTCTAATCACACTGAATCTGTCAGGCAGAGACTGGCCAGCGGTGGCTGCTAAATCAGTGTGTCATTCTCATTCTCATAAATGTAACACTACCTGGGCTGTCAGACATGCCTGGCTTTTACTTGCCTGCCTACCTAAGGGCCTTTATCCAGGACTGATTGTTCATGTGACAATTTCCATCCAGGACTGATTGTTCATGTGACAATTTCTATCCATGACTGATTGTTTACCTGACAATTTCTATCCATGACTGACAATTTCTATCCATGACTGATTGTTTACCTGACAATTTCTATCCATGACTGATTGTTTACCTGACAATTTCCATCCATGACTGATTGTTTACCTGACAATTTCTATCCATGACTGATTGTTTACCTGACAATTTCCATCCATGACTGATTGTTTACCTGACAATTTCTATCCATGACTGATTGTTTACCTGACAATTTCTATCCATGACTGATTGTTTACCTGACAATTTCTATCCAGGACTGATTGTTTACCTGACAATTTCTATCCATAACTGATTGTTTACCTGACCATTTCCATCCATGACTGATTGTTTACCTGACAATTTCTATCCAGGACTGATTGTTTACCTAACAATATCCATTCAGGACTGATTGTTTACCTGACAATATCCATTCAGGACTGATTGTTTACCTGAATATATCCATTCAGGACTCATTGTTTACCTGAAAATATCCATTCAGGACTGATTGTTTACCTGACAATATCCATTCAGGACTGACTGTTTACCTGACAATTTCTATCCATGACTGATTGTTCCAGTGACAATTTCCTTTCAGGACTGATTGCTTCAGTGACAATTTTCATCCAGGACTGATTGTTTACCTGACAATATCCATTCAGGACTGATTGTTTACCTGACAATTTCTATCCATGACTGATTGTTCCAGTGACAATTTCCTTTCAGGACTGATTCTTTCAGTGACAATTTTCATCCAGGACTGATTGTTTACCTGACAATTTCCATCCAGGACTGATTGTTTCAGTGACAATTTTCATCCATGACTGATTATTCATGTGACAATTTCCAAACTTGACTGAGATCATCCACGTGACAATTTTTTTTATCAGTTTATGTCTGTTGAAATTTACCTTGATGCATACACTGCCCATCTTCCCATCTGACATGCAGTCACTTTCTGAGCAGTGATACAGATACATGATACATCATGCAGGTTGTACAAATTTGGATAATGATGATAAATTTCTGGCAACATTGACCAGTATTTGTTGTTGTCGCTGTTTCACAAACAGACAGGAAACATGTGGTGTGGCAATCTTTCTGCTACATCCGGAAGGTTTGTTGTTTGGGTATTAACAACCATAACACATCATTATGTTACATACTCTTGTCACCGGGGAAAGAATATCTGCCAAACGCTAGCAATCACCAGCTCGTGCCATTCACTGCAGATCTCTTATCTCACCAAGCAGAGCATATCCGCATTCCACAGCTTGTCTCTACTTCCAGACACACGCTACATTGTCCTAGATTCACTGAAGCGTGGTGGCCACCACATCCTAGAGCTAGCGGTACCGGGTCTCAGGTTGCTCATACATCATATCAAGTGTCCAAGCCTGGTATGTGCGATGCTTGATATGTCACTAAAGTTAGTGGAAGTGTGAACACTGACGGTAACAACACCTGATATTGGCAACAGTGTGAAAGAACAAAGACATCAGGATTCTGCCACTCACATTTCTGCAGTACAGGATGAGATAAATCAAGCAACCAACAAGACACATGATGATGACACTCACCAGCAATCAACAGGACATATAATGATGATGATGACCCACACCCGCAACCAACAAGACACATAATGATGATGATGACACTCACCAGCAACCAACAAGACACATGATGATGCCACTCACCAACAACCAACAAGACACATGATGATGATGACACTCACCAGCAACCAACAAGACACATGATAATGACACTCACCAGCAACAAACAGGACACATGATGATGATGACACTCACCAGCAACCAACAAGACACATGATGATGACACTCACCAGCAACCAACAAGACACATGATGATGACACTCACCAGAAACCAACAGGACACATGATGATGACACTCACCAGAAACCAACAGGACACATGATGATGACACTCACCAGCAACCAACAAGACACATGATGATGATGACACTCACCAGCAACCAACAGGACACATGATGATGATGACACTCACCAGCAACCAACAAGACACATGATGATGACACTCACCAGCAACCAACAAGACACATGATGATGATGCCACTCACCAACAACCAGCAAGACACATGATGATGATGACACTCACCAGCAACCAACAAGACACATGATGATGATGACACTCACCAGCAACCAACAGGACACATGATGATGATGATGACACTCACCAGCAACCACCAAGACACATGATGATGATGACACTCACCAGCAACCAACAAGACACATGATGATGATGACACTCACCAGCAACCAACAAGACACATGATGATGATGACACTCACCAGCAACCAACAGGACACACTGGCTAGTCTGCAGATCTTCTGTGTAGTTTTTGATGATCTTGTCATAGTTTGGGAACATCTGCTCCAAGTCGCTCTGGAGAATTGGTAGGAACTTGGTAAATGTTTATGTGGGTAGACAGGAGAGAAGGATGGTAAGTAGATAAGTAGGTAGGCAGACAAGGGAGTGGTGGATGGGTATGTAACTAGATAAATAAGTAGGTTTATAGGCAAGAGAGTGGGTAGAGCAGGGCAATTATTACAGCTGAGTGGGTCGAACAGGGCAATTATTATGCTGATGACACTGTCTTGATAGCAACAAGTCAGAAAGAACTATAGGAAATGATAGACATTGTGGTGTTAGAAAGTGGAAGAATGGGCCTCAGTTTGAATAATGGAAAGACAGAAGTAATGGTGGTATCAAAGAAACCAGTTGATGGTATTATTTTAGGACAAGTACAGAAATTTAAGTATCTGGGCACATGGATAACATCAAATGGAAGATGCATAACTGAGATAAGAAATAGAATAGGACATGCAACAACTGCATTTCATAAAATAAAAAACATCTTGTGCAATATATCCTTGTCATTGAGAGTTAGAAAAATAATTCTTGCTTGCTACATACATCCAGTTTTAACATATGGCTGTGAATCCTGGACAATCAGTAGGCAGGCCAAACAATTTCTAGAGGCCTCAGAGATGTGGTTTTACAGAAGAATACTTAGAATACCTTGGACAGCCAAAAAGAGCAACCAAACGGTTTTGAAAGTGGCGGCAGCCCGAAGTCAGTAGTTAAGTCAGTAGACATAAAACCAAACAAGCAAGTAGGTAAAGTATTATGTAGTGAGTAGGTCATGGGTTAAGTATTATGTTGTAAGTAAGTCATGGGTAAAGTATTATGTTGTAAGTAAGTCATGGGTAAAGTATTATGTAGTGAGTAGGTCATGGGTAAAGTATTATATTGTGACTAGGTCATGGGTAAAGTATTATGTTGTGACTAGGTCATGGGTAAAGTATTATGTTGTGAGTAGGTCATGGGTAAAGTATTATGTTGTAAGTAAGTCATGGGTAAAGTATTATGTTGTAAGTAAGTCATGGGTAAAGTATTATGTAGTGAGTAGGTCATGGGTAAAGTATTATGTTGTGACTAGGTCATGGGTAAAGTATTATATTGTGACTAGGTCATGGGTAAAGTATTATGTTGTGAGTAAGTCATGGGTAAAGTATTATGTTGTAAGTAAGTCATGGGTAAAGTATTATGTAGTGAGTAGGTCATGGGTAAAGTATTATGTTGTGACTAGGTCATGGGTAAAGTATTATATTGTGACTAGGTCATGGGTAAAGTATTATGTTGTGAGTAGGTCATGGGTAAAGTATTATGTTGTGAGTAGGTCATGGGTAAAGTATTATGTTGTGAGTAGGTCGTGGGTAAAGAGATAGTTTTGTTACTGAGGTAAATATGTGACATGTAGAGGAACAGCTTTGTGAACTGAGTGAACAGACTCATCTTAATTAAGTGAAAATAACTCACCTGACACGAATGAACAGACTCATCTGACATGAGTGAACAGACTTACCTGACATGAATGGAATGACTTGAAACTGAAATAAGGCAACATACTCACCTCAAATAAATGAACAATCTCATTTGAAAAGAGTGAATAGACTTGCCTGAAATGAGTTAAGCTGAGCTGAATCAAGAATTGATGTCACAGCACTATGCCATTTCCAGGCATGCTACATCCTGATCTTCAGTGGCCAGCACAGAGTTCCAGGACCACTAGTACCAGGTTTCATGTGGTGAAATGTCTGTCCTGCCTTCCCCCTGAGTGTAGTGAGCTGGCCAGTACACAGTTCCAAGACCAATAGTACCAGGTTTCATGTGGTGAAATGTCCGTCCTGCCTTTCCCCTGAGTGTAGTGAGCTGCCCAGCACAGAGTTCCAGGACCACTAGTACCAGGTGTCATGTGGTGAAATGTCTGTCCTGCCTTTCCCCTGAGTGTAGTGAGCTGGCCAGAACCTCTGGTTACACCCAGGTGCTCATTCTTTCCTGGGTATAATAATCTTGTTTCTCTTCTGATTCCTTTGCTTGTTGCCAAGGCTTTGACCACATCTGTCTTGTCATGCATCATCATGTGGTGGTCCTGGGGCTATTATATATAAAACATGGTTCAGAGGTCCACGAACCATGCCTGACACAAGTGAACAGACTCACCTGACACAAGTGAACAGATTCACCTGACACAAGTAAACAGATTTAACCGAAATGGGTGAACAGATTCACCTGACACAAGTGAACAGACTCACCTGACACAAGTGAACAGACTCACCTGACACAAGTGAACAGACTCACCTGACACAAGTGAACAGACTCAACTGAAACAAGTAAACAGATTTAACAGAAATGAGCGAACAGACTCAACTGACACAAGTAAACAGATTTAACCGAAATGGGTGAACAGACTCAACTGACACAAGTGAACACACTCACCTGACACAAGTAAACAGATTTAACTGAAATGGGTGAACAGATTCACCTGACACAAGTGAACAGACTCAACTGACACAAGTGAACAGACTCACCTGACACAAGTGAACAGACTCACCTGACACAAGTGAACAGACTCAACTGAAACAAGTAAACAGATTTAACAGAAATGAGTGAACAGACTCAACTGACACAAGTAAACAGATTTAACTGAAATGACTGAACAGACTCAACTGACACAAGTGAACACACTCACCTGACACAAGTAAACAGGGTAGACAGGAACAAACTATGGAATATATTGAACGACTATGGAGTACAAGGTCAGCTATTAGACAACATCAGATCTCTGTACCAAACAAGCTCAAGCGTAGTTAGAACAAATGTTGGTGTGACAGACGAATTCATACTAAGAACAGGAGTAAGACAGGGTTGTGTACTATCACCACTACTATTCAATATATACATGGACAGAATAACAACAGCAGCAAACCATGTAATGATAAGCGAACTGTTAACTACACCAAGCAGTGAGACAGAGTTAGTTGAAAGAGATCATTATAATGAAAACATACACGCCGATCCTGATGAAGTATATCCCCAACTGAACGAAATACTTTTCGCAGACGACCAAAGCATAATACATGAAAACGAAAAAGAACTTCAAATCCACGTAAATGCGCTACACACAGTCTGCAACGAATATAAAATGAAGATCAGCATCACCAAAACAGAAATTCTGAAAATAAGTAGAACACCTAATATACTAACTATTCAAGTTAACAACGAACAACTCAAACAAGTGCAGCAATTTAAATACTTGGGGAGCATCTTCACAGATGATGGAAGAATTGATAGGGAACTTGAGGCAAGATGTCAAAAGGCGAACGCAGTAACTTACCAACTCTCCCCACTGCTAAAACACCCAAGCATCACTATGGCACTAAAACGACAACTGATAAATTGCATGTTTATACCAACCCTCTGCTACCAATGCCAAACCTGGTCCCTAACAAGAGCACAGGAGAAAAAGATCACGACGTGCAAAATGAGCTGCTTACGTAAGGCTGCCAATGTCACAAGGAAAGACAGAGTTCGAAGCGAGAACATTAGATCAATTGTAGGAACCACACCATGCCTGCAATACATAAAGAAGCAACAAATAGAGTGGTTTGGCCACTTGATGCGAATGCAAACCGACCAACTGCCTCTACGAGCATACAACGAACAGCACCTCTGCCCTAGAGCAAGAGGCAGACCGAGAGTACGATGGATAGACAATATATCAGAGATCCTGAGGCAACACGGACTAACAACAACACGTGCAACACACCTGGCCCAGGATAGAAAACTGTGACTCCCCACTACGCTGTGAGGCAATTGTGGATAAGACAAGACTGAAATGAGTGAACAGACTCAACTGACACAAGTAAACAGATTTAACTGAAATGACTGAACAGACTCAACTGACACAAGTAAACAGATTTAACTGAAATGACTGAACAGAATCACCTGAAATGGGTGAACAGACTCACCTGACACAAGTGAACAGACTCACCTGAAATGAGTGAACAGACTTGTCTGATGTAAGTAAAATGACTCACCTGAAATGAGTGAACAGACTCACCTGACTTTAGTGAACATACTTACCTAACTTTGGTGAACAGATTCACCTGACTTTAGTGAACAGACTTACCTGAGCTAGGTAAGCAGACTCACCTGAAAGGGTTTGGGCAGCTCACTGATGTAGCTGCTTGTCTTCATGTACAGGTTCCTGATGGCCGTTCTGTTGACTGTATCTTCGTTTCGTGCTGCTGTGATTGTGTCTAGATCAGTGATTGGTGGGGGCTGCAGATCAGTCAGTCACAAAACCCATGATATAAAAACAAACAGTCATTATTATTTATGAATGAAACATTAAATCAAAGTCATACTGCATCGTGTTTCCACGCTGACCACAGGACAGGTTTGATTGTGTTATGTTAAGATTGAGAAAACGAAAAATTCTTTAAAACGCCCCCAGTAACATTCTAGTAAACATGGCCTGTCTGTCTGCCCCTGTAGGACCGCCCCCCTCCCAACACCTTCAGTAACATTCCTGTAAACACAGCCTGTCTATCTGCCCCTGTAGGACCATCCCTAAACACCCTCAGTAACATTCTAGTAAACTTAGCCTGTCTGTCTGCCCCTGTAAGACCCCCCCCCCACCCCCGCCCCCCCCCCCCAACACGTTCAGTAACATTTCTGTAAACATGGCCTGTCTGTCTGCCCCTGTAAGACCCCCCCCCCCCCCCCCCCACCCCCCCCCCCCCCCCCCCCAACACGTTCAGTAACATTTCTGTAAACATGGCCTGTCTGTCTGCCCCTGTAGGACCATCTCTAAACCTCTCAGTAACATTCTAATAAACATGGCCTGTCTGTGGGGTCCTATTGGAGCATAAGAATAGAGCATCTGGCCGAGCTAAGAAAGGAGTCAAATTAATGCACTGGAATGCGGAGGGAATTAAAAATAAAAAGTTAGAGTTAGAAAATATTTTAAAGGAGGAACAGATTCATATCTGCTGTCTACAAAAAAACCCACCTCGCTGAAGACACAGTCTTCAAAA